AAGGGGACATGCATCAAACAGGGATTTAACAGGACACTGATTCCCAGAACACATTTCAAACATGAGTAGAACAGAAAAAGCTATGGCTGAGACCCATTAGTACACTGTGACCTCTGGCATACTGAACAGGCTTAGAAATCAACAACTCTTAAGTTCAAATCCCACTTCTGCCACAGACTTGCTAAGTGACTTGTCACTACTCTGTTTTTCTTCCCTTTCACTCTATATAAACTAAGTTTCAATAGTTTATAAATAGCTGAAGTTATAAATCCTAATGATACTCATCTGGATATAGCCAAGACATGAGAAATGTTCAGATTAAATTTCTCCTAACTTCAATGAAATCCTCATCAAAATTAATGTAAGAGCTCTTTCTCTCTTTTGAGGGTAGAGGGGGTATATAACAAATTTTTCTAAAAAACTTTTCATGTATATATGAAAGATAAGCTTCAAATAACATACTTATCTCAAAATAATTTAGAGTGACTGCAGCTTGCCACAAAAGGGAAAATAATTATATTTTTTCATTTAGAGAAAACTCAGAACAAATACAATGTTCAAGATTATAATCTGCCTTATACAATAAACAGTGCCTTATTTTAGCTATAGTGTACTTGATTAAATATTTAAAAATTACACAAAATTATCTTTTTAAACCTTAAAACACAATTTATAATATCTTGTTCTTGTTTCACAAATATGTTTTCAAGAGAACACCAAGGTTTTTATACTCTTCTCTTTCAGAAAATTGTTATTTCTGAGTCTTTGGAAGAGAAAGCATATTGCAGGAACAAACAGTTGTTTTTACGAAAAAGGGGAAGAGGGTTAACCAGGCTTTGATTAGTTTTGTGTTCTAGCCTAGGTCACTTAGGCTGTGTGGCTGGACAAAGTCATTTTGCCATACTATCATCTTCATCCATTGAAGTAGAGGGGGAAGCCAATGTAAAAAGTCTACTACCTACCTAGAATCCTTACAGGAGCTGTTTTAGGAAATCTTGAAAAGGGAAGGAAATTTAAAAAACAGCCATTTCCAACTGCAAAAATGATAATGCTGAACACTGAGTTTGGAAAATGCTAAAATAGAGAAATCAGAGCAGGACAGGTGAGAAAGAACCTTCACAGAAAGAGGGAAACATTAGGAAGACAATCCCAATGAACTTGTTAGTTTACAACTATAATGAACATATACCAGTTATTGAGTGCTAACAAGTGACTACTACAGCTAATTGCCATGTACAAAATTAAATATTAAATCACTTAATCCTTGTAATATTAAGAAAGACATTCTTTTATTATTTTTACTCTAAAGTAAAAACCCTGGGGAACAAAGAGATTATATGAGTAGTGTAAAATAACTCAGCTGGAAGTGGAACAGCCGTGCTGTGAACCAGTGTTGTATACTGATAGGTGTTTTTTGGCCTAAAAGGCAAACATAAACACTTTAGGATAGACATGCAAGATGTAGTTATTTTAAGAGGCTAAGTGTTAAAAGTAGAGACATAAACTACAGCAAAAATTCTAATCCAAGGATGAACAAACAAGCTACATGATATGCATGGAGTAACTGGATATTTAGAATGTCCTATACATTTAAGAAGGGTCTTATTGCTCTATGTATATATGTGATTGTATGACCAATGTGATTCTGCAACCTGTACACTCAGAAAAATGAGAAATTATACCCCATTTGATTCAAATGTATGATATGTCAAGATCATTGTACTGTCATGTGTAACTAATTAAAACAAATAAAAAATAAAAAAAAAAGAAGGGTCTTTACAATCCAAGTGTTTAATAGAATTCCATGTCTTGAAAATTACTGGAATACACATTCAATGGCACCTTTTATGGTACTGAAGAATGTGGAAATTTCTTCAAACAAACAAATCAGCAGTGGAATAAGAGGCATGGTAGCACATACTTGTCATCCCAGTGGCTTGAGAGGCTGAGGCAGAAGGATCCCAAGTTTGAGGCCAGCCTCATCAACTGAGTAAGACTCTAAGCTACTAGCAAGAGCCTATCTAAAAATAAAAAAAATAATAAAAACAGGTTGGGGATGTGCTCAGTGGTCAAGTATTCCTGGGTTCAATCCCCAACACTAAAAACAAAAACAAACCCCAAAAGAGGAACCACAACGTAATACACATTATTTTTAAAAAAATCTTTTTAAAATTCTTTCTCTCATTGGATCCATACAACACAGTATTATCATCTCTATTTTAAGAATATAAAAATTAAAGCTTGAGAAGATTAATTATCTAAGCTGGCAATTACTGACTTTCTGGCAAATACTAGAAAAACTGGAACATAGAAAGAAATGAGTAGGATGGATATCTGGGAAGCATGGATCAAATTTAATTCCACAGAATGCAAAGCAAAAAATTCTCCCCTCTTTGGAGTCATCCTGGGGTATGTGAATAAAATAGTATTACTGGAGATCTTAAGTTTTGAACCTATACTCTACTATTTTATTTCCTTTGTGTAGTCAGATGGAAAAAGAAAAGGAATGTAGTAAAGTTGCCATGCTGCCTGGGATGTATCTAATCTACATTACCTCTTCTTCTTCTTTTTTTTTTATTAAGTGTGGTCAAAGGACAATTCAAAGGAACTGAATGTCAAATCTGAACAGATCTGAAATAAATAGGCACTTCATCATTTACCTATTATGAACACATACTATATATGCAATGTAGAGGCGATACCAACTCATCCATTGAACATTGGAAGGGAGAGATCATGACTGAGACAGAATGACTTCACAGCTCTTGGGTTTTGTATTTTAATAGTAAGGAAAAAGAAATGACAACATTTTATCTCACCTTACCTAATGGAATTTTATCTTAACTGACAAGCAGGTAAGAAGGCAGAGTTCTTATGTAAAGAAAATAGATTAAATAGAGTAAAAAACATTATAGAAAAGGATATTTTGATTGTATAGATGGGAATATGGTAAGAAAATAAACACATACTACCTTTCCCTGCCTCCATTATTACATATAAAAGCCGCGGGGCCAGGCTTTAAAAGGGCAGTGCCAGGTTAATAGACATGGGACAAATAGACCAATTCAGGGCTTTTCTCCTAAGGCTTCTACATTTTGATGAGTAGAAGAGAGACACAGAATGCTTAGAAACTACTATCACTTCACATGAAAAAGATCAAGAGAACATGCAATTTATTTCTTGGTTGTCCAACCTAGATCATCAAGAGAAGAAAAAAGGAAGCAACTGAGAGTAGAACTTTTGTCTGGAAACAGACTATGTACATAGTACACACTTTTCTTGTGCTACAGGAATCTAAACACAAGGTTTTATGGGCAAGAGGAGCAGACACTTTAAAATTATATGATGCTGTGAGGAAAAGATGGGGCTACAACTTTACTAAACATGTCACAATGGGAAAGTCCACTAACATATTGTAAGGTTCATACTGAATATGTAAAATGGAAAATACTTGTGCTCCTTATTGCAAGGATTATTATGAGCACCAATACAGAATTTAGAAAACTTTAATAATCAAATGAATGTATGTCGAATACAAATGAACAACTGTCCTAAGAAAAAAGAATTTCAACGCTAGAAGGAAAGGCAGATCATTTAGTCTAATACATGAATTAAGCACTGGGGCTGAAGCTCAGTGGTAGAGCACCTGCAGCACCTTTGAGGCACTGGGTTTGATCCTCAGCACCACATAGAAATAAATAAATCAAGATATTGTGTCCATCTACAACTAAAAACAAAAAAAATTAAAAAAGATATGAATAAATTATTTTAAGCAGGAACCCTGTTATAAAAACAGAACACATAAATAGCTGCTCTTGTTAATACACAGCTGACACTTGGCTTGCTTTGTCTCTGTTCTGCATGGCTCCAGGAACTTTCTACAGAATTTTTTTATGAAACAATGTTAAGCCCACAGAGCTATTTCTAACTTCTAAAAATGAAGAGAATAAAAGTTGAAGCGGTAAAGTTCGACAAAGGCAAACCAGAATAGGGACTAGAACCCAAATCGCCTGACTTTGTTTAGTATTCTATGTTCCAACACTTTTATTTTCTTTTTAAAGAATAAATAAATAAAATAGAGGTTCTTCTTTACGTTCAGTAATTTCACTATCTCCCTTCTTTCAAAGGCCTCAAGATAACTCAACTCTTATCTATCTGGATACAAGTAAATGATATTATTGGCAAGATCAGAGTAGTTTAACATACAAGTAGGTGGTTAGTTAGAAATTGTGGTGGAGGGAGCCTCAGTCTCCTTGTAATGGCTAAAAATTGTCTACATAAAAAATTTGCAAGGGACACCACAGAATACAAAAAACACGTTAGACCTGAACTTTCAACTACCAAGTCTCATTCTGTGAAAAGCCTTTTACTAAAATGTTGCGTGTACAGAAAATGGTCCCTAACTAAATACGCAAACAATGACTTTTAAAGACTCAAAGGAAAATGCTCATGATTTTCACATTCCCGATAAGGAATCAACAAGAAATAAAATCAACTCCGCAATTTTATAAGAAAATTCTCAGTATCTCCTCCCATAAGAAAACCAAAACTTCTAAGCAAAGGGTTTTCACTTAAGTTACTCAATTTTTTTTGTACCACACGTAACCCTTTAAAAGAATCCTCGGATTTTACTGAAAGCTTGGATCCTGGATGATTCTTAGAAAGACTTTGATAAGAAGTAAATCTTTTCAAGAGGAAAACACATCTAAGTCCGTCTCTAAAAAAGGCAATTCGTGGAATGCAGAGGGGTTCAATTCTAGCTGCGTGTTCCCCTGCCCTTAATGGCGCGAACCTAAGAACGTCTGTAGGCGTTTGTAATTGCTTTACAGCGTTTCCCGAAATCAAGACACTTTGATTTGCCTCTTCCAGGAAGACAGGAAGCCAATAAACAGGGAAACTGAAGCAAAGGGCGAGAATTACAAGGCCGTGAAACTCCAAGACCTCCTGGCTGTAAGCAGGACCTCAGGTTTGCACTCTGGCGCTCTCGGGCAGACACTGACCTTAGGAGTCTGCGAAACGCCCACGCTCCACGTAACTTTTTCTGAAACATACTCTGGAAAGCTTGGCTTTTTCCTGGCTGAATGTGGGTTACCCGGGCTTCCGGAACTCGCGGGCTTCCGGAGCGACGCAGGACCCGGAAGTGGCTGGGGAAAAAAAAAAAAAAGGAAATAATACCACCCGTGAGCACTACGCTTTAGAGCAGTGCAGAAGGCCCGAGAGGGCCCCGAGACGGAGAACTCGCAGGAGCCGAAGGGCCGAAGAGCCGAAGGACCGAAGGGCCGAAGAGGACACCTCGCTCACGGTGATTGGTTGGAGAAAACGTCTCTGATTGGCAGAAGAGTCACGAGCCGGTCAGCCCCGGGTCGGGGGCCGGGCGTGAAGAGGTTACAGTGTCCAGGGGCCGCCGGGAAGCTGGGGCTTTCGGGGGCAGGGCTTTAGCTGCGGGCGGACGCCACAGCGGGCGGCTAGAGAAGCGCCGCCGGGTGGCGGTGAGGTGCCTCCACAACTCGGGGTCTCCTTGTTTGCCCTGAGCGGCCTGCTGCGGGACGACCTCCTGAGGCGGGAACCCTCGGGCTAGGTGGCTGTGTCCGGACTAGGACAGTAGGGCGGTGCGTGCAGACAAACCTTTACCGCGGGCTCGGTGGCGTTGACGTCTGCAGGCTCCAGAAGGCAGGTCGACCGCCATGAAGAGATGCGCCCGAGGGGCCGGTAAATTCAGGGCCAGGCCCCCTCTCAGTTCTTCCCATCAGCTCTTAGGAGCACGCCCACCCCAGGGCATCGAGTCAGAATTTCAGAGAGGGGTCCGAAGGAAGAGCGCCCATCGGGCAGTTCTGTGCAGCCCGCTTTGGGAAGCGCCAAAGTTTGAACGAAATAGAGTAGTTTAAGAAGTAAAGATTTCCTGCACATAGTAGGTTTTAAGAACCTTTTAGTTCTTGTCACAAACCCCTTAGGAGAGCGCGCTCAGTCTTACCAGGAGTCTATTGTTAAACGCTGAGAACTTATCCTCTGAAAGTAGTGTTACAGAAGTGCTTTTTCATTTTTGCTTTTTTATTTTTTGACTAGTATTTTATTTCAGGAATTATTCTGTGGAACAGATGTTACTCCATTGTGAAACATGAAAAGATAAAATGTACGCATGAACACCAATACTGTCTAAATTCATTTTTACATTAAAGATAACATAATTTGACATCCTTATACCTGGAATGTTGCCTTTTGTATGTTAAAGACATTTAGTGGGGAGGGGCAGAGAGTTGGCCTGGATAGAGGATGATAACTACTTCAATTAATGAATCAAAATCTTCCACCATGTAAACCTAGAGTACAAATGAGATGGAGTGGAGAGTACAAGTTGATAGGGTTTGTAGTTCACTTAGGTATAGCAGAGGTTTTCTAGACTGCAGCTGTTCAGTATGGTAGCCATTAGCCACAGGGAATTAGTCTTAATTGAGGTCTGTTCTAAGTGTTAAATATGCACAGGTTTTTTTTAAGACAAGGTATGGAGGAAGAAAATAAAGAATGTAAAATACTCTTTAATTTTATATTGATTATATGTTGAAAGGAGAATGCTTTGAAAAATTTAAAATTATGCAATTTCCATAACATTTATACGGATACTTATGTTCTAGAGAGTAAGAAATTCTCTTTCAAGATGACTAAAGTCTTTCACTTAACAGTTGCAAAGTAGACAGCTATGTGGCACTTCCGGAATAACTCCCAGAAGTACTGTACTTAACTAAATTTTTGTTGGAGGGGAGAGAAGACTGGCATAGATTACATTTTCAGAGAGCAGTTCTAGTTCATGAAGCTTTGTATAGGTCACATGAGCATCAAGTTATGTATTGATAATAATGATAACCTACCTATGAAGACATTTGTGCTCTGTTAAATGAAATTGTTTAAGATAGGGAAATATGTATAACAGTCAAGACTTCTATTGAAAATATTTAAAGTAAGTTCTGGGTTTAACCTCTAGGTATAGTATACATCTTTAGTTTTGTAGTGAACTAGTAAGCTGAGGTTTCAGGAAAGTTTTGATTCCATTTTTTAAAATATTTGCTTAAAAATATTTTCCACTTATTTATTTTTCACTTATTTAACAAAAACCTGTTGGGGGCCAGAAATATTGCTTGGCAATATTGATAAAAATATGAACTAGACAGAAGATTTACAAGGCTCTTAACTTTCTAGGAGCTTATGAATATCAATTCAGGGACAGAATAACCAAGGCTTTTTTTTGACTTTGAGTGAATGATTTACTTCTGTAAATGCAACACATTAGTTGTTTTAAACCTAGGATTTATGTATTCCTGCAGACATGCTATGAGTTTTTAGACTTGGCTGTGGGCTTAAGAACTAAAAGCCAGAATATATTTCATTCATTTACTGTGAGAACTTGAAACAAATAAAATAAAATTGATTATTTCTTTACCTTTAAATACAAAAAAAAAAGTTTAAAAAATACAATAGCATCTTATATTCTCTTTTAGCCTTTTAGTGACTTTTAGATTCTAAGGAATTTAATAATAAAAATGTAAAGAAGACATTGATTTATGCCCCTAACATATTTTAAGATTGCTGACTTTATGAAGTTAAATTTATATTAGCATATTACATTGTTCTTAAATCAATATGTTTGATTTTTTTAGGAAAAAGTTGAACATAGATCTTATGTTATTTTACTATTGCTGCTATAACAAATTACCACAACGTTAACAGTTCAAAACAATACCAATTTATTATCTTAAGAGTTCTGTAGGCCAGACATCCAACTGGGTCTTAAAGGGCCAAAATCAAGGTATCCACTGGCCTGTTTTCTTTTGTGAAGTTTCAATCAAATAATCTATTTTTTTGTTTTGTTTTAATTTTATTTTTTGCTTATTCAGGTCATTGGCAAAATTCAGTCCCTTGCTACTGTAGGACTGAGGTCTCTTTTTTCCTTGCTGGCTGTCGGCTTCCAGAGGCTGCCCACATTTCTTGGATTGGGGCCTTCTTTCTGTCTTGTAGTTGGCAGTGATGGGTTCAGAGCTTCTCATCCTTCTAAGATTTTTCCTTTTCTTCCATGGTTATGTCCCCCTGGTTATAGCCTTTTGAAAACCCATTTGAGTAGGTTGAGTCTCCCCTTTTCAAGGTTCATAACTTTAACCATATCTGCAAATTCCCCTTTACCAGGTTAAGGTAACATTCACAGGTTGCAAGGACTGGAGCACATTTTTCCAGACTCTAATTTCTCGAAATTAATATCCAAACTCCTTGGAAACACACCAAGACCTTTCATACACTCCAAATACTTTTCCTGCCCTTCTTTTGTTTGGTATTTACATAGCCATTGATTCTAATTTCTCCTTATTCTCATGTGCTCTTATTTCCTGAGGGAGGCCTATATGTTTATGGGAATAGGGACAGTCATATTCGGGGTCCTTGTCCATAATGTCTTCTAATATCACTCTAAAACTCCATTCCCCCTTTGCTGACATTGCCTTAATTCAGATCCTCATTCTTCCTTTAAGTCCTTTACTAACAAGATGGTGTCCTCTAGCCTTAGGTCTCTTTAGGTTTCCTCTCTCCATTGCTCATTAGAATGATTTTTCAAAAAAAATACAAAACTCCATATGTCATTCTCCTTCTTTAAAATTTTCAGTGACCCCTCAGCCAATTCCTGAAATATTATGCCTTTTTCTGTGCGTCTTAGCACTAATTATGTGCTTCTACTAGAAATGGAGATTGAACCCAGGAGTGCTTTACCAATGAGCTACATCGCCAGTCCTTTTTATTTATTTATTTATTTTTGCTTTAAGACATGATCTCACTAAATTGCTTTAGGGCCTTGCTAAGTTGTTGAGGCTGGCCTTCAACTTGTAATCCTCCTGCTTCAGCCTCCCAAGTCACTAGGTTTACAGACATGCACCACCATACTAGGCCTACTGTAATATTTAAGATGTCACACAATTGTTTAGATACTTTTCTTTCTTTTAAATCATTAACTCATTGAAAATGGGGTCATAAGAAATGGTTTTACTTGAATGAATTTATATTATTTTGTCATATATAAATTATTACATCATTTTGTCATTGTCTCTTATCACTAATCTGTGAACTCTTTAAGGGGAAAGTCACTGGTTTATTTTTTTCTTTCTCTGTGACACAGGAGACACCTAGTGACTTTTCAATCAATGAATTGCTAAAATAACCCAGAATACTGGATTATTTTTGGTCCGAATAAAAAATATATATACACATATGAAACAATTTCCTGGGAATATATATGATTACATTGTGATTGTTGTATATAATTTGGTAATGATTTTTAAAGAAATGTGGTGGCTAAAGCATGAACTTGGAGCCAAAGAATCTGAAGTGAATTCTGGTTTTCCCCTTACAAACTATGCACTGTTAGGCAAGTTCATAATCCCGTTCCTGTTATTTGTAAAATAAGGATAGTTCGTTCTTTTTGTGTATGGTGCCGGGCATTGAATCAAGGGGCACTCTACCACTGAGTTACGCCCCCACTCCCCCAACCCCTCACCATTTTTATTCAAGGAAAGATCTTGCTAAATTGCTGTGGCTGGCCTCAAACTTGTAATCCTCCTGCCTGAGCCTCCCAAGTCATTGAAATTACAAGCATGCACCACCATATCCTGCTGGATGTTAATTCTTTAACTTTGTTAAATGACTAATATTTGCAAAGCATCTACCACATAGTAAATGTCCTACAAGTGTTTGTTAAATAAAAATAAAATAGTTTATATTCTCATTTTTTTGATAAGTAATTGTTTATCATACAATGATTTAAAAAATAGCTCCATGATTTGTGTTGTTAGAGACTTTTACCTTTAATGATTTTTAATGTCTTATATGATAAAATGACCCTCTATATTCTTTACATATTTAGAGATTACTTTTATATTATCCCTCTCATTAGGAGTTTACCTATGTTCCCTTTGTATTATTTTTTCTATTGCTCTTGTAACAAATTACCATGAACACAGTGACTTAAAACATTAGTTTATTAGTTTATTGTCCCACACTTAAGCAGTCCAACACCATCACCAACCTAAGATCTCGTAGTCACTAGGCTGCCTTTCTTCTGGAGTCTCCAGGTCTTCCAAAGGCTGTCCACATTCTTTACTTATGGCCACCTTCTTCCATCTTGAAAGCCAGCAATGTGGCATCTGTGTAATCATTCTGCTATGTCTCTGTCTCTGACTATAGCCAGGAAAATTTCTCTGCATTTAAGGATTCTTGTGACAAGACAGGCCCTACTTGGATAATCCAGTC